AGGATGTAAGCGAAACCTACAGCATGTGGCCCAGAACACTGAGCCAACACCTTAGGTTGGGGGAAAGAAAGGCACCACATAACCGACTTACAAGCTGATTAGAAAGCCTAAGGGGGAGGGGAGAACGGGGAAATGCCCATCTGACCTATAGAACAAAATTTCCAGAAGGCAGTGGGGATAGAAATGATTTCCAGCCAGATGGTGAGAACTGTGCATCTCTGTGTCTGGACCCAGTTGGCTGGGTGGAGCCCTTATCTTCTGGAGCCACAGGTGCCACAGCCAAGTGGCTGGTAGCTGATATAAGGAAGACATTATGAGGGTAGCAGGAAGGGAGGATGTTTTGTAGCATTTAAATATATCCCACCTTCAGGGAATTGCTTCTTGTCCAGGTAAATTTGCATAGGTAGGAGGAAGTGTCTTAAGAGAGCATTGCCTAAAACTCCAAATATGAATTGGGAAGGGTTTCTACAGAAATGGATCAGTGTGACCCAGGAAAGGGCAGGGCAGAGGTAGGGTTGTCAGCTGAGCCTCCACTCTGGAGAATAAGAAATAAGGAATAAGGAGAGGAGCAGAGGGAGCAAGGACCCTTGGCTAACTAATTCTAGATCCACTGACATGGCCACCACTCAGAACTTGGGGAGGTTCCAGAATTGATGCCACATCATCCTTGTTAGTTCACCCCCAGCCATGTGCTCCACTCCCAGCCCCAACTCTATGTCACAAGAGGAAAATTCGGAAAACCACACTAGCAGCAGACTACCTTGGGGGAAATAAAAGGAGGCATCCATGGTGAGGCAGTGGCTGCAGAGTTATTGGAGGGAAAAGCCAGGTTACTGAAGTCAGAGACAAGAAAGGAAAAGAGGGCAAAGTCTGGAGAAGGAACTCCTGGGGCTTATGTTCTGGAAGGTCTCTGCAAATGTAGGGGAATTTGGAACAAAATGCCAAATTGAACTTTCAAAGATGAGTCACTTGTGATTCTCCAGGCAGGGTAGGAGGGCTTGCTTCCCTAGGGGTTTGCATCAGAGTATCTACAAGCAGAGGGACAACTGCATGTTGGAATAACTCCCTCTTCTCGCAAACAGAAGCTACAGAGAGGAAAGCTTAGCAGCTCTTCCGATCAGGCTACCCAGATACCAAGTGCACATGGTATGAGGGAGGTATCAGCTTTAAAGAAAGATAAAGAGTACCAAAGCATTTATTCAACACGCATTTACTTCATGTCGGACCTTAGTGATGAACAGAGGAACTGGTCCACACCTGACACTAACCAGGCTGGGGGTTGCAGCTGTATAATCATATAATTACAGCATGCTCTCCAGCCTTCCTGTTCAAACAGAATCAAGGAGGACTTTATGGGATTCATCAAATCGAGTATTGTTTCAGACCACTCCCAACATCCCTCTCCAATAACATGCAGTTAGTAACTCACCATGTGGAGCAAGAGCACCTTCACTGTTCTAAGGCTGGCTAAGTAATATTTAGACATTAAAGTTATTCTTTAAATGAACTGAGTGCCACTTGGTAGACTGAATTCAAAAGTGCTAAATATTATTCAAGGTCACAAGAGCCCACAAATCAACTCAACCCCCACCTGGCCCCGTCTCTACTACCCTGCCAATGCCATCAGTGGAAATTTGCTGAAGAACCAGTATTTCAAAATTCCAAAGTACCAGAATCTCAGTAAGGCAGTCAGTTCCCCAGAGCTTCATAGATTTTTTTTTGTTTCAGAATAGAAACATAAGTTTAATCTATCTCCCACTTTAAATATATTATGAACAAATGATTAAGAAGAATTAATTATTCTATACTCATAACCAACAAAAATATGTAAGAATTTACCAAGAAGACACTATTTATAAAATGATTAAGAGGAGCAATGGACTTTGAGCCAGAGAAATCTGGGCCAAGTCCAGTGACTGCGGACTGGGTCATCTGGGCCTCTTGTTTCTCATCTGTAAAATGGGAATAATAATGATATTTGTCTCATGAGTTGATGTAAAGATAAAATAAGATCATTCTTGTACAGAGTCTAGTCTAGATCTCAGAACATACTTGATACTCGATTAATATGAGACAATTCTTCTGTACCTTAAGTCTAATGTTTGTTATTATCATAAATAAATACTACTAGGGCCGGCCGAGTGGCTCAGTTGGTTAAGAGCTTGCTCAAGAGATTGAGCTCTGAGCAACAGCAGTTTGAGTCCAGCCCGAGCTGAGCAGCTGCTGAGCTGCCAACAGATAGCAGGATGGCTCAGCTAAAAAAAAAAGTATTATTAAAAAAATAATTATAATAAATAAATAAATAAATAAATAAATAAATAAATAAATACTACTAGATGAACATGACTTTGCCTTGGTCTTGCCAGATGTAGGTTTAAAATCTCTGGCTCATGGTGACTAAATCCTGAGCCTCTGGCCTGCTACATTAAAAACTGCATTTGCTTGGACACATGTTGTAATGACTACAAGTATCTTAAGAAATACTTGCTTTTTTTCTCAGGATCTGGTGTAAGGAGGCTGGCATTTATAAAGACATAATTTTTTTTCCATAAGCAAGTTAAGCCAGTTTCCCAGCTATGGCTGACACCTGTGACCCAGTGTTGCTCTGAGCCACATACAGGGCTGGTCTTGGAGCCCAGCAAGTCCCCTGAGGGAAGAATGTTCTGGCAGGTGCTCTGAGCAGGCCCAAGGAGCTGGAGGCAACTTGTTGACCAGAAAATCAACCCAAACCAGTGCCAATTAATAGAGACAGGCACAGACCCCTCAGTGTAAGACACCCCCAACCCCCGGGGTGGCTTCTGAGGTCCCAAGGGCCTCTGTGAGAAAGATTCAAAACAAACAAACAAAAAGGAGCAGAGTGGACAAGTGGAGAGAAGGTGATATTTGCCTGAGCATTTTCCCCTCGGATGGCAGAGTAGGGAAGGCCCTGAGCTGAATTGGAGAAAGGACCTAGAGGACAGTCCCTGGAGGGGATAGGCTATAGCCAGTGGTGACCTGCAGTCCACCCCTCTTCCTAAAAGTAGCAGGCAACAATGTTGAAATGCAACAGCAGAGATATTCTAGATCATGCAATAGGGCAGGCCTGCTCAGCAGCTGGTCTGTTAGTAAGATATGAAAATGTTTTGTACCAGTTGTCATAAACCTCTGCCCTGAGGCCCCCACTGCCTTCCCATCACTCTAGCTGCCATGATCCCTCTTCCAGGACCCTCTAGGCTCCCCCAAGATGCAGCAAGCATAGGGTTAACACCTGTCACCATAGGGAGTCTCTAGGATTTTCTTATTAGTCTGGATTGGTTGTGAAATGTTTTAAAGATCCACGACAGAGAAGGATCCCAAACCCAAAAGGGAGTTTATTGATCTGCATCATCTCCAGGAAGTAGAGGCAGAGCCCCTAAGGGGGTGGGCTCGAGGTGGGCTCCAGAGCTGGGGCCAGGACCCTTGGTTAGAGATGCTGCCTGTTACCTTGTCTGATACCTGACCTCCCCAGCCACATTTCTCTTCCAAAGCCCAGCACCCAAATGCCTCAACCATCCACCCCATTGCTATTCCTCTCAACATTGCACACAAACATTGACTTTCAAGAGACAGCTCTGTTTAAACTATTGGGTTGGGTTGCCATCTCTAACAGGAACAAAAGTGAAGCAGCAGAGAGCTCCCCACAATGTAGCACCAGCCTGGAGACTGTGAAAACCGCTCATGGCTGTTCCCAACTCACTCACCCATCGCCCTGCCCTATTTTAAGGACTGTAGGCCCTCTTTCTTTCCACTGACCTCAAACTAGGACAGCCACCCAATTCAACTGAGAAAGCCCCCTACGTCTGAGACTGGGACATTAAGAACTTCTACTTTGAATTCTTTGTTCTCTTTTTGTATATTGAAAAATAACTCACGATATACCACTAAGTTGATAGAAATTAAACCAAGAATATGCACTTCTACAGCCAGTTAAGTCAGAGTGAAGAATAAATCAGAAGGGAGCATAAAGATAATGCTTGACAACCCTCTCTCCCTCCATCTGACACATATGCACATATATACATACACACTCTCCTGTAGAAGAAATCTTTAAGAAAGATATTGCCAGAATTGCTGGGAACTATGAATAGCCTATTACAATACCAGTTTGCATAGCTTCCTTGAAGCCATGAGTTTAAGCCAGATTTTTAAAAGTCCATATGTGTGGTTTTTTAATGTGCAGCTACCTGGGTTACACACCTTGTTGAAGACATAGGAGACATTTTATAGCTATGCTAGGGTTGGGTGATTACTAAGACAGAAAGGGAGACAAAATCACAACACACCATGTCCTCTGGGAGACACAGGCCTAGGAAGAAGCAGGTAAAATGTCCATGGAACAGAAACTGTTCACTCATCACTAGGCCAGTTGGTTATCACAAATTATTTCTTTCCCTGCATAACAAAAACAATCAGGGGTTTCCTTATTTCATAAGAGGAGAGGAGCAGCAGGAGACCAGCTGTCTTATTGTGTGGAGTCCCAGTGTCTGTCTCTAATCGCAAGACAGTCCTGATGGAAAACGTACAAAGTAATTGAGCTGGCAAGAAATCAGAAGGAAATACCCAGACCCCTTGCTTCCTAGTGAACGTATGATACCTTCTGAAGCGCATAATCGCACAGGAAAAGAGAACAAAGGTTACTATATATAAATATAATTTTGATTTTCTTATCTGATTAGGTGGTGTTCTGTAATTGTTGAGTTCAATTTTAAAGAAATGCCTGTCCATCAGGAAATCAGCTCCAGTACAAAAAATAAAGTCATGTGGAACTTTTTGATAACTGCCATTCAGTAGAATCCCTATCCTAATTGTTATAACAAAAATAGAACTCCTGCTTCTTAATTAAAAAAAAAAATTATCCCAGCTTTGTTAGCATGGCTATGGCTAATGTTAAAGTAGCATGTGAAGTAGGTCATGGAGATGGTGGCCCTGCAGGAGATGCTACTGGCCAGTATGAAGGTGCCGCACATCTGGGGAAGACTTACTTGGGAGTGCCCTCAGGTTTCCAGTACCTACAGAAGAGGTACTGTCCGTCGGCATTGACCAAGTGAGGGAGGTCCTGGTATGGAACGTTCTGCGGCGTTCGCCTGGGAGAACTTTCTTCCGGCATTTTGAAAGGATCTCCAAGTCCTTGGAAGAAACAAGGACATATTCCAAAGTTATAAACGTAACAAAAACACAGAGAAATAAGGAGGAAATCTTCAGAGTCAGTAATGTGTTTTTTTTAAAGCAGTTTAAAAAAAATCCATTTCAAAGAATATATATATATACATATATATATACATATATATGTATGTATATATATATATATATATATATATATATTTCTTGCATTCTCTCCAACACTGAAAAATCCCATTTGTTCTTAAAATGCTCACTTTATTTTTTAAGTGCCTTATTACAGCGTTTCCCCCTTCCCATCTGTGTTTATTTTAAATCATTTCAGGAAACTTCATCTTAAAGGCTATTTTAGCTGTAATCAAGTGGAAATTATATCAGCTCTGTGGGTATGAAGACCCAGCTGCAGGAAAACCCGGCCATCTTCAAGTCCCCTAGGAAGTTTCAAGGGGGCACAATAATGAGGTGATGATGCTCCCATTAATTCCTCCTGCCTGAAATTCCAAAGATGTCGGGGGACGAACCTGTTTCCATCATGTCCTGGCTTTTGCATTCCACAACCACGACAGCCTTGAGAATCAGAGCCAGGCAATAAGGGCTGTTCCCTCATCGCCACGGTCACAGCACGGCATCAAGCAGCCTGAGCCTCTGTCCCCTATTCCGCGCCCTGCTCCCAGATCCTGTCTTTCGGGCTTTAGGGGTGCGGAGCTCGGGAGTCTGCTTCCAGTTCTCACTGACAAGCTCTCCGGTGCTCCCCTCCTTCCCCAGGGTGGGGGGGAACAGGCGCCTGCGATCCTCCACGACTAGTTCGTGTCATCACTTTTCCTAAACAAATCGTTAGAGAGGCTAGGAGAAGGGAGGGGCCGGGAGCCCAGCACCCACAGCCCGGGAAACTGGGAAACGCTTCGCACACACCGAGGCAGCTCGCACACGCACAAATGCAGGTCCCCGAGCTCAAGTCACCCCCGCGGCGCCTGACAAACTTTGCTTCCTGCCTGCCTCCAACCGCGCAGGGAATGGAGCCCTGCAGCTGTCACTGGAAATGCCACCGGAAAACCCAGGCGACTTCGAAAGGGTCTCAGCACGGGGTTGGCGGGGACTGGGAAGATGGGGTCGATGCGGACAAGTTGGTTTGGGGGCTGGTGCGAGGGAGCAGGGAGAGCGCGCGCGCACGGACAGACACGCGCTCACACACTCGTGCACACACGCGCGCGCACAAGGTGGTGAGGGAGCCCACGCGGAGCGGGCTAAGGACCCCAGGCGGCTCCCCATCCCTGTCGTGACGGCACTTGCAGGCTGGGGCGGGGGCTGGGAGGCAGTTACCCGGGCCACGAGCGCCGCTGTCGTGTTCCCGGCGCGCCACGGGTCCTGGTCTGCGGCGGGCCAGGGCCGGGCCGAGCTGCGCGCCGCCGACTCCGTGGCGACAGGGCGCGGCGTCTGCACCGCCACTTTATCCTGGGGCTGGCTCGCGGGGCGGGTAGCCCGCGGTGGGTGGGGATGAGCGACACTGGCTGGCGGCGCGGGGAGGCGGTGCCCGGGGTCCACGTGTGCCTGGCCCGCGGGGAGGAGTGGGGGCGCAGACCGAAAATCCAGCCACGCACTCCTCCCGCCCGCCTAGCTGGCAGCCGCGCCCCAGCGTGGCCGCTGGGGAACTGTCACAGGGCCCTGAACGGAGCAGGGCTCTCAGGAGTCTCAGCGCAGGAGGACACGCCAAACTCACGTGAGCACACACACCATGCGCTCACACAGAACAGCACACACAGGGACACATGCACACTACATACACAGACTACGTGCATACAGATAACACACAGAGACCACATGTACAGACACAGACAACATACAGGGACACACACACACACACACACACACTACATGTATACTGGGACATGCAGACACACATAGACATATCCAGGCATACACACATGTCACATACATTTGGGCAGACACCCTCATGTCACACACACACACACACACACACACACACACACACACACATAGACACCTACACACAGACACGCACATACAAAGCTGGTGGGGGTGGGGTACACAAATCCCCAGGAAATAGGGCAGAGGCAGACTGGGGCAGGCCTTGTCCATCCTCCACCATCCTCAGCAACCCTCCCGATGTCCCAGGAGCCCAGATGCTCCCAAACAAAATCTCTGGTGCATCTACACAGACCAGGGGAAGTTATCCAGGAAGCTATCCAGGACAAATGGCAATGTAACTTGAGGAGATACAGGAGGAACACTGGACTTAGGGTCCAGGCAACCTGGGTTCACATTTGCCCTGTGAGCATTAGTCTCCTCCTCTGCAACCCAGGAGTGACACTACCTATGTCCCCAAGAAGTGTGACACAGGTGCCCTGCTCACATTGACCTCAGCAGGCCTTTGTGTCCTTTCTTTCACAAAAAAACGTTACACCACAGTAGTGTTGTGAAGAACTGCTGTCTTCCAGAAACTGCTGTCCCAATGTCACACTGTGTGGGGAGGCCCAGAATGCTTAGAGCCTGTGATCTAACTTAAGAAATAAAACAATAACCTTTGAGAAGCAGCTTAGGACATTTTCGTCCATTATTTCTTCAAGTAATTTTTCAGCCCCACCATCTTTTCTCCTCTCCCTCCCTTTGGATTCTAATGATATGAATGTTAGATCTTTCATTATAGTTCCGTAGTTCCCAGAGGCTCTGTTCGTTTTGTTTTTCCAGTCTATTTTCTCTCTATTGTCTAGATTAGGTAATTTCTAGTGTCCTATCTTCCAGCTTACTGATTTTTTCCTCTGTCTCCACCATTCTTTCTTCTGTCCCCATCACCCACTGCACTTTTATTTCAGTTATTATATTTTTCAGTTCTAAAATTTCCATTTGGCTCGTCTTTAGCTCTTCCATTCCTCTCCTGAGGCTTCCTATTTTTTCATTAGTTTCAGGCATGTTCATAATTGCTCATTGAAGCATTTTTATCATGGCTGCTTTAAAATCTCTGTTCTTTCTGTTGGCATCTAGTCATTGTTTTGGGGGTTTTTTTAAATTCAATTTTAGATCTCTCTGGTTCTTGGTAAGATATGTGATTTTCTATTGAAACCTGGACATTTTTGTGTTATGTTGTGAGACTCTAGATTTTATTTAAACGTTCTGTTTTAGCTGGCCTCCTCTGCTCCAGGCCAGGAGTTGGGGTGTGGCACAAGGGGAGGTGCTGCCTCATTCCTTCCAGGTGGAGGTAGAAGCCCAGGTATCCCATTAAACCTATGTGGGTGTGAGTGTGGGCCATGATTTTTTTTGTTTGTTTTTTTCTGTGATGTTTGACTGGTGTAGAAAGGTTACTGTATGAAAGGTTTCTGTCTTGTTTAGCTTGTCCTTTGGCTGGAAAGAGCAGGCTTTTGTTGGGTATTGTCTGGTCTGTGACCATAGCATTTCTGGATTGCTGGTTTCTTCAGCTCCAAGTCTGGAATATACTAGGCAAAACAAAACCCAGGGAACTCACCACCACATTGTCCCTTGGGTCCGAGGTCCCTAGCTGGTCTGCTTTTCTTTCTACCTTTCAGTCTCCTTATGTTTCTTTTATATATGATGCCCAGGGCTTTTAGTTGTATTTCTGAGAGGAATAGGGAGAAGCACATCCCCCCTGCCTTTGCAGATGCAGGCGTTCTGTGTCTTCCTATTTATTTCAGTGGTCCCTGCCTGCCCATGTACCCACAGCAACCTCAGGCCCAGTTCCTCTAGACAGAATTACTCTGGGAACAATGATCGGCAATGAAAGTGCTGGTGAGCAGTATCTGCCCTACGGCCTAGGATGAAAAAACAAGATGGCAATTCAAGTAAAAGTGACATCTTTCAGCTCTCACAAGTGTTTTTGTATAGCCTTCCAAAGATGCTCTGAGGTTTGAGGGGAATGGATGCTGAAATACCTGTGAGGAGGAAGGGAGGAGTGGACTAGGAGACAGTAAGATAAGCATGTGTTTTTATCATTAGCAATTTTAGTATGTGTACATTAACTTCTACAGCTTTCTGCAATCACAGCAATTGTATTAATAGTTGTTGTATATTCCAATTATAAATCACTCCGATTAGAGAGAAGGAGAGCTTTGGAATGGAGATGGTATTTAAAGTAAACAACACGTCGCCATAAGAAAGGATGAAATACTGCCACTTGTGACATGGATGGATCTTGAGATTATCATGCTAAGCGAAATAAGTCAGACAGAAAAAATTGAGAACCATATGACTCACTCATATGTGGGATATAAAACTAAAAGCAACAAACAAACAAGACAAACAAATGAGCAAAAATTCATAGACACAGGCAACAGTTTAGTGGTTACCAGAGGGTAATTAGGGAGGGGGGAGGTAGAAGAGGGTAAAGGGGGTCAAATATATGGCGACAGAAGGAGTTTTGACTCTGGGTGGTGGACACACAATGCAATATTCAGATGGTGTACTATAGAATTATACACTTAAAACTTATATAATTTTATTAACCAGTTTCACCCCAATAAATTTAATTAAAAAATAAAATAAAGTGAACAAAAGAGAAGTAAAATTTTGTACAATTAAACTTAAGGGGGGGAAAGTTGAACAAAAACACCTAAGACTCAGAAATATGCTCCCCTGACCAGCAGTGTAACTTCCCAGCGATATAATTTACCTGGCTGACCTGCCTCCTCACCTGACACAGGGGAATACGAACACCCCTCTGGACCTTGGCCAAGATCAGTTGAGACCATGCCTGTGGGGCAGTCAGTTTGCAGTAAGTCAAGGGCAGCAAGCAGCTCATGGCTATGGTATCAAATCTGACCCAAGAAAAAGTACTTTTTGTCTGAAAAATTTTAATGTAATTTTTTAAATTGGTGATTTTGCATGCAAATCCAGATTCCTAGCTGTTCTTGAATTGCAAAGAGATATGGTCACTCGGTGCCATGGTCCTGACCATGTTGAGTATGAGGTGCCTGTAAAGGAGGATGGATCTGTGGGTTTGGAACCAAAGAGAGGGGTCAGGCTGGAAACATGGGAGTTGGCCCAGAAACAGTGCTACCTCCGTGGGAGAGGGTGCCCTCACCCCAGAAGAGTGGGTAGGTAGAGGTGTGGCTTGGCAGAGCTGTGCACTGCATCTCACCAGTAGGAGGTTTAGCTTAGCCTACGCAGTGCTTTCAAAATATTTGAATTTGTGGCCAGCATTAAAAAAATCAGGACATTTCTCATAACATTGCTGATTTCTGGATTTCCTCTGAAAGGCCAAAGGCCTGGCAACAAGAGGCCACTTTTTTGCCTGGCAGCGGTCTGCACTGTCGCTGGGTGAAGGCTGCCCCCTTCAGGTGGTACCTGAATCTGCCCACCTGCCAACCCCTCTACTGGGCCTGCCTCCAAAAAAGCTAACCCTTGGTTTTCTGATTTGTTTTACTGAGTTGGAACAGGAAGGAGGGAGAGTAGATTTTGATGGACAGGGTGTGACATGTAATTCTAGACTTTTTTAATTCTCTGAGACAGCCAAGTAGAGGTCTAATGGGCAGTAGCAGGTGCAATGTGAGACTAAGGGTGGAGATGAAAGTTGGGAGGTAATTGGTGATTGATATCATGGGAGTGGATTAAATTGCCCAGGACATGTGAACTGGAGGGACAAGTGGGCCTAGGAGAGATCCTTATGAGGACAAAGGGAAGGAGGAAGACCAGGAGAAGGGGAATTTGCAAAGGTGATGGAGACAGAGGAGGAGACCAGGAAGGTGTGACTTCATAGAATCCAAAGGCATAGCAGGTTGTAAGAAGAAAGGACCAACAGAATCTAAGGCTGTCCAGAGGTCAAACAAGAGGACTTAGACGTGTCCATTAGATTTAATAACAAGGAGGTTATTTATGACCTTAAGAAGAACCCAGTTCATGGATTACTCAGAACAGAAGACAACCTGCTCTGAGTTATAAAGTGAGTGGAAAATAAGTGGAGACAGCAAGTGTAGACAACCTCTTCAAGACATTTTGTATGAAGAGGAGGCAGTAAAGCATGGTGGTGAAGTCTATGGATTTTGGAGCCAGACATCCTGTATTCAAATCCTGGCTCTGCTGACTATAACTCCATGATTTGGGCCAGTTGATATATCCTTTTTATGCTTCTACAAAGTGAGGATAATCCAGATTGCGGTCTAGTTCATGGGACTGAATATAATAGTGCAGGTAATTACTTAGCACAATGCCTAGCACCTCATAGGTAGGTTGCAGTAAAATTTTACCATTTTTAAGTTAAGGGCATGTATTAAAAATTCCAATAAGAACCAAAAAGTTAAAAGTGATTTGTGATCCTTCTTCCCATGCTGTGCCCTGGTTCCTGTCCACAGAGGCAACCATCCCTGTGGGTTCTTGTGTGGCCTTCCAGAGATGCTCTGAGCTTTGAGGAGTGTGGAGCATGCTGGGAACATCTGTGAAGAGGACAGGAGGAAGTAAGATACAAGGGCATCAGATGGGAATGATAGTAGCTGAATTCCTAGTGGTTTCATGTTGCTAGGCTGCTTGAAGAGGCAGGACTAGACTGTTGAGTAAGGGTATTATGGACAGAGCTTGAGAAACATCTCAGCAGGGTGTAAGGTTTGTTGCATCAGTGGCCCCAGTGAATGGCCTCTCTGTCCCCATTGCCATTTTCATTGTGCTTTTGCAGCTCTTTCCATTGACAGATGGAGTCTAATTCCCCTGTCTTGAATCTGGTCTGGCCCTGTGACTTGCTCTGGCCAATAGAATGTGGAGGAAATGACACTATGCCCAATCAAAGCCTAGGCATCAGTGGCCCAATGGGCTTCCTCTCTCTCTAACTTTCCTCTGCAATGTGAACCAGGCTGGCCAGCTTGATGGAGCAATGGCCGAGGCACGAGGAGGATGAGACATTTGGAGAAAGCTGAGGTTCCCCAGCAGACAAGCAGCCAATCTCCATGTGCCCTGCTGACCTACAGAGATGCCCAAAGATGCTTGAGGGCGTCCAGTAGAGACTGAAAGAACCACCCAGTTGAGCCCAGCATGGTGAGCTAAATAAATGGTTGTATTAAGCCACTCAGTTTTGGGGTGGCTTGCTATGCAGCAATAGCTAACTGATGCAGCAGGTCACCATAACATTTGCTATCTTGCACCTTCAAGTTATACTTTCTCCATAATCACTGTGAGACCTGGGAGAAGGAATTCAACAGTTCAAAATCTAAAAATTTTTTTAAATCACTGAAAATTTGGATGGAAATAGAAAGGAAAATGGAAACACTTTGTACTATCTACTATCTACAAAAAAAATTTACAAATGACAAACAGAACAAACAAATTAATAACATGTACCCAATGCTGTGACTAAAAAGGTCATAAATATTCTTAATGTTACTATGACAGGATATATTGATTCTGTTGTTCTGTCTTTTTGAAATGTGTTTCTAATTTTTCCCCAAATCATCTCTGCTAGAGCCCCCTTTCTTTATTTTTCCCGTAGAATCTCATGTCACTTCTTTGTAAATTCTTCCTGCATAGGAGATATTGGGCCACTAATGCCCATGGTTGAGAAAGGACTGCTGGGTATTAAATGCGAGTATAATTTCTAAAATGTGTGTGGGTGCAGAAAAGCTCCTGAGAGTTGACTCAGCTCCACCTGACTCTTCCATGAGGACACAGTTGTAAAAGTCTTTGGAAGCAACTGTATCAGAAGGGTGGGTGTGGCAGTCAAAGTCAACTTCCTGCCTTTCCTTGACAATTAAGAGTCATGCAGGAAAGACAAAACAGTGAATTTTACATTCTTTTAGTATGATTCAGGCAGAAGTTACATTAGTTGGAATCAAAACAGGAAAGTAATTAATAGGTGCTGATGCCAGTGCGGCCACCATTGTCAGCATACCCTATGGGTGGGCTCTAATATGGACTTTTACAGCGGAGGAAACTACATCCGTCCCCTTACTTGTCCAAGGCCAGTCATGCGGATGTGGCAGAACCCGCCTTTGCTCCCCATCTGTCCACCTCCTGTGTTCTTTCCCTTCCTGCAGACTGGTGTGTGGACTGAAGTTTCTGAGAAAGATAGATGCAAGGGTCCAACATCCAGGGAATTAAGTCACACTCAGCTTCACTGTGAGGAAGTCCCCTTCAGTTCTCTTTTATTTTGCTGATGAGTAAAAGGCAAGGCCTTCATTAGGGTTTATGTGTCTGTAACACTCTCCAATACTTGCTCATCTCCCTGTTTAATAAAGATGACCATGCATTGCTAGACATTAACCACTCGGCTTTGTTCTTATTTATTTGTAGGGTTACCTTAAATTTGTGGCAAATGTTCATTTTCTATTTTTAAAAAACCTTTTTAAATAAGTGAATTGAAGTTTAAAACATGGATTGATTTAAAGAAAGAGATTAAATAAATAACAGGGTATGTGGTACATCGATCTGGCAAAGTCATAATGTCAGTGGTGTGGCCATAACTGCGGTTGGGAGACATGTAGGGGGGACCTGGTGGGAGAGATGGACGTGGGCACGCCCCCCACCTCTACCCTGTGGCAGCACCCTGGGTCAAGCTCCTTCTATTCCAGCTGATACTTCTATTCAGCTTCCTGTGGGTCAGGAAAACTACTGGTCCAGATGGTTTTTAAGGGTCTTCCCTGCTCTCATAAACAGTCGCTCTGTGGATGGCTATTTTTGCTATATTGTCAAACACCAGGATCTGGCCTATTGGGAAAGGCCATTAAGTACAATCAAATCTACAAAGATGAAACACAGGTTCCCACCCACATACTGCCTTCTTTAAATATATTTGACAAATCCAGAATGTCGTCAATTAGTAACTAGGACCAATCACTATAATGAGATTTGCACTCAGCTGGTAAAGAAAAAATTCTTCCACTGAATAATCTGGTTAATGGAGCTGTTAAAAGTTATGCATGCTGGAAAATAGTCCACTGGGGTAAGTGCAAATAAAATGGACCCTGCTAGCAAGTAATAGTGGTAGATCACACATGCATATCTTTCTATTTTATTCTTGAGAAACATCCTTCTGACTTCTCTTGAAATAGATGCACTGACCTAAAACTGGAGTTTTGGCCTTTGAAGGCAAATGAGGCAGTGGTTATGTTTAGGCAGGGCAAGTCCAATGAGGGTCAAGTGCAAAAACTGCTACATCTGTACAGATATTTCCAGATAACAAATGTTCACAGAGGCCTCTTATGGATTCAAAGGAAATGAGGGTGAAATCTGACAAGATTTCTAGGCAAGGTTGGGAGTGAGGAGGAAGCACAATACACAGCTTTTCTAAATAATAGCATTTTTTTTTCTAACCTGATTTTATTTTGCTGGTTTTGGTCAGAGAAGCCATGTGGTGTGCTTGTTAAGGGCACAGACCCAGGGGTCTGAATCAGCTCTTGGTCTTTTAAGCTCTGTGACCTTGAGCAAGTTACTTAGGCTCTTTGTGCCTCAGTTTCCCCTTCAGAAAAATGGAGGTAATAATAGTATCTGTGTCATAGAATTGTAATGATTAAATGAATGAACACAGTAAATTGCTTAAAACAATGATTGGCATATAGGAAATGCTTTATGTGTGGACTATATTATTATGATTACTTGTAAAACAGCATCAACTCTCCCTTCCAAACTGCCTTTGTCAATACCATACACCTGAGAACCTGTGTCTTACAAGATCATATTACCTTCTACAATGTTAAATGTACATTTCTCTGTACATCAAGCAAAATTGTCAAGCCTTGAGGAGAATGTCACAGCTGGAAGGTGGTCTAGACATCATCTAGTCTAAAGCCATCATTTTTTAGATGAAGAAACTGAGACCAGAGAGGTGAGGTGACTTGCATAGTAAATGGATGATGAAATCTGAATTAAAACAAGAGTTTAGGTCTTTCCTTTTGCATCTCTGGTACTATTTCCATCATTTCCTTTCATTCCCAGTGGATTCTAAGTGTTTCAGATAAGAAAAGCAATTGGAAACCAGCAAGTAGGATGCTTGAGATTTCTCACCCACACTCTGCCACGGGCCTGTATCAGATTTCCCCCCTGATTTTCTTCAAATCCATAAGAAGTCTCTGTGGACATATGTTTTCTCTGCTTTGTTTGTTTTTTGACCATCAGGTAACACTTTTTTCTAACAACAGCTGTATTTCCTTTAAGGAAATCTCCACCACTGTGTGAATTCTTACAGCAACTGTCAATCAAAGTGCTCCCCTCAGCTAAGGGGTTGGCCCAGGGCCCAAAGAAGGCCACTGGATTCTCCCTGGCTGACTCTTGAGCAGAGCACATGGGATGGAAGGCACAGGAGTCACTTACTAATTCTGCTTGCTGGCAAGGTGGCTGCGTGTTTGGGCTGTGGGAGGTCTGGCACATGTCCTGGACCCTACTGTGCTGTAGACCTCCAATGAAGTCTCCTTTGGCGTAAGTCAACCAATTTGATTTCCATTATTTGCAACCAAAAAGCCTTGACAGATACAACTTACCCTATTGCCTTAACCTTTCAGAGCTATTGGGAAAATTCTTAGCAGGCCGAATACATGTGGAGTGGGGATTGAGGGGCATGCTGTAGAGAGTTCTGGGGAGAAGAGAAAGAAAGAGCTGTGAGTAGAGTAATGCTAAGCAATCTCTTTAGACTAACCTGGAGAAGGCTCAGCAGTGGGAAAACTGAGAAATAGAAATTATGTCAAACCCAGAAGCTGGCATATTTTAAGTCCCTTCGAGTGTGTGTGTGGGGGGGGGGGCGGGGGGAGGGAGGTGCTATGCTGTAGCTGATGACTTGGAAACAGAAAAATGGGAATCTGAGAGAGGAAAACTTTCAGGGACTCATCCTCTCTCGGTAAAACCCACCAACAGCTACAGCAAAACAATGCTATACACAGAGCTCTTAAAAGTGCAACAAAAACTGTTTTAAGGACAGTTTTGACAATTAGAAGTCACCATTTATTTGTTCTTTCTTTCATGCATGCAACCTGCATTTATTAAGCAGCTGCCATATGCCAGACATTGTGCTGAATGCTGGACTCTGGCGCTAAACACCACCACCCCTCTCCTCACATGACTTATAGTTCAGGAAGAAAGAGGGACAAGAAAGCAGATAATCACAGCTAGGAAAGTAGGGAGTTGGGGGAGGCCACAAAAGATCAAATAATTGTTTATACAAGAAATCATGTGATGGCAGCATCAATCTTCAACAATTGCAGAAGGATACATGCAGACTCCAGGAGAGTTTCAAGAATGTGATTTGCAGCTTATCTTTCCTTTAAAGCAGCTGTCCCTTTCAGGCTTTAGCATAGAGGAAAGGAGCATGGATAGGCCAAGTTGGGCTTTGCGCTGGCTGTCAAAAGCCTGATGGTTTAATACCCAGGTCCTCTAGGGACATGCATAGGACCCCTTAGTTCCTTATTACCAAAGTTGGTCCACAGACCAGCAGCATCACCTCTCTTAAGAGCTTGTTATAAATGCAGAATCACTGAAGTGTGCATTTTAAGAAGATTCCCAGGTGATTCATAAGCATACTGACATTTGAGAAGCAATAGTCTATTTAAACCCTTAGGTGAAGTACTGAGCTATTCATTTAAGGATATGTTACTTAGAAGGATTCAGGTAAGGAACCAAGCCACGTCATCCAGGAATAGTGTCTAACCAATGACCTTGTTACTGGAGGGGACCATAGCAATGGGTGGGGGAGGGCAAGAAGACTCAGGACAAGTTCCTGTGGGCTGGATGTACCACAGAGTTTCACAATAAGATGCAAGATGCCGCTGCATTTACATTTCAGATAAGCAATGAGAAACTTTTTAGTATAATTATGTTCCAAGTATTGCATGGGATGTGCTTATACTAAAAATTAATTCATTGTTTATCTGAAATTCAAATTTAACTGGACATCTTGTATTTTTATTTGCTGAATCTGGCAACCCTATTCTACCAAGATCCAGGTGTTACCTCATAACACCTAAAAGAGCTTGAAGCTGTTAAAACAGGAATTAATTAAGAAGAACCAAAAAAACATTAGGAGTGACTTAAATTTAAGGACACGTGTACAATTAATTGTAATACTTTCAATTCAGATATAAATATAGTTAGATCACCAATTTCTCTCCACAAAAGAGTAAGAACCAGAAGTTGCAGAAGGTTTAGTAAATGGTACTAGAAAAGCAAAGCTGAATCTCTACCCAACACCATGTGGATTATAGACCCAAAAGTGAAAGTGAAACTTAAAAAGTTAATAGAAGAAAATGCAGGAGAATATCTGTTACTGAGGTAAAGGGGAAAACATCTTAATTTAAATTTTAAAAACAGAAACCATAAGGAAAGAAAAAAAAAGGATTTGATTACACCAAAATTAAGGATTTCCTTTCAACAAAGGACACCAAGGACAAATAAGGGAAGACAAAGAAAGGGTAAAGATATTTGCGAAAGAGAAATTAGGGATTAATTTATAAAAGGTACAAGGGACTCTTGTAAATCAACAGGAAAAAGATGACTGTACTAATAGAAAAAAATGGGCAAAGCATATGATCAGGGGATTTATAGAAACAGAACCTAAAAACTCAAATAAGCACATTGAAGAAATACTCAAAATCACTAGTAATCAGAGCAATGCACAATTAAATAACATCAGCACATTTTTTTGTACTGACGGTATCAGCCAGGCCACAAGTGACAGCTGAGTCTGGGACCGTGGTGGCAGGGTTGGGGCTGTAGGAAAGCTCCCACCTCACTGGTGGGAATGAACAGTCACTGTCCTTTAATTTCATACACCCCCATGGCCACCTTCTCACAATTCCATTCTCACACAGTTCCAGAGGGGCGACACAATCCTTTGTGGAGGGATGTCCCCACATCCTGAGCGGCTATCACTGGAGCAGGGTATACTCCATGGAAAGTTATGGAGAATTCAAATCAATGATAACATGCACCCAAGTAATAGGATGGATTTTGCAGAGTGCTTAGTGAACAGTCAAAACAGATGAAATCTATAATGTATTTCCATTTGTATGTATTTAAAAGCATAGCCACACCAAACAAAACGTAATTTTAAAACATGAACTATGAACAAAATAGACGGTTAGTATTTACTTAGAAGAAGTGGGACAGGGATGCAGAGATACAGAAAGTGATAAATGAAAAATAATAGAAAGTAACAAATAAATACCAGACAATAAAATAATCAGTAAATAATAAAGAAAAATGTAAATAAAATAAAACAAGAACCAACCATGATAAAGTGATGTGAAATGAGGAGGCTCAGCCCTCTGCACCTGAAGTCCAAAAATAAACATGTAAATACAGAAATAAGTAACTACAGGTGTCTATAGTCACTGTCCCAGTCCCCTTTGGAGTTCACCCGTATGTTCTCACTTCTCCCCAGCACTTAGGAGCCCAGCCTCTCAGTTCTAGTGCTTGGCTCTGCTCAGCCTGCAGGCCTGTTGGCCAAGGCAGCTGAAACTTTTCATTCCTGTCTCTCTGCAGTTCACACATGCATGCCCTGCTTCCCATGTTGAAACGTGGTTTTTCCCTGGGTCTCATGGGGAAATGCAATCACGCACAGGGTGGTCAGCTCATTGCTTGGCCCAGCCCTACTCTCTCTAACTCGTGGATCTGAGCTGCGCATATTCCAGGTCTTAATCAATGGACTTTCACCAGAGAAGCAGAGCACCAACAAATTTCTCCTCCTTCCCTCACATTTTCCTGTGAGCTTGGATGGGGGAGGGAATCTCAGCATCTTTATTTGAAAAAATTCCTTAGGTAGCTCTTAGAAACTTCACAGGTTGAGAAATATTGATGTTTAAAAAAAATCCATAAGATAGCAGGCTATAAAGTTAGCATACAGAAATTAATAGACTTTAAAATATACATAAATGTTTTATATATAAATGTCAAAGGATATTAAGATAGAAAAATCCTTTTTAATAAAATATAAGCTTAACAAGAAGCATACAAAACCCTTATAAGACACCTCTGAAAGACACAGAAAAGAGATGTGAACAAATGGAAAGGCAGTCTTTGTTTTTGAATAGGATGACAACATGGTATAATAAATATGTCAGTTTTCCTTAAATTAATTTATAAAGTTTTAAAATCCCAGTAAAAATAACAACAAGCTTCTTTGTGGAGTTAGACAACTGATACTAAAACTCTTAATTTTATAAATGCAAGAACAGCATTTACTGTCTGAGAGGCAAGAATGCCTTGCCAGACATTAAAGCATACCTTTTAAGACAGTGTGGCACATTAATAGACCAACGAATTAGTGGAAAAAAACAGATAGTCCAAAAATAGATATGGGCACATGTAGGAATGTGTCATTTGATAAAGGTGGCATCTCAAATCACTGGGGCAAAGTTGAACTTTTAAAAAAATAGTCCTGGATAACTGGTTAGTTGTTTAAAAAGATAGCATTAGATCTACACCTCCCACCTAACCCAAGATCAAATTACAAATGGATCAGAGATCCAGATGTAAAAAAGGGAAACCACAGAACTACTAGGAAACCACCTCTTTGGTCTCTCTCACCTCTCAGGTGCTGGGAATGAAGCAACTCTCTGGCAAAGTAACTTAAGGCAAAGTGTCCCCCTCAGAACAAATACATTCTTTACAGTTTTCAAACCTCCCCTGGCTCACCTTCCTGTGCAGCATGGGACAAAAGTGTGATGTACATGATTAAAGCCATATTTCTGGTGGGTGGAGAATGCTAGCACTCCTCCTCATAGGAATACTGATAGATTACATTTCCCAGACACCCCTGCAGCACAGAGGGCTCATCTGGCTGAGTTTTGGCCAATGGAATATGGAGGGAAGTGAACTGTGCCCAGGCCAGCCAGGCCCCTGGGTGTTCTCTCTCTCTCTCTCTCTCTCTCTCTCTCTCTCTCTCTCTCTCTCTCTCTCAATTGCCCTGTCTGCCAGCCAGGTGAAGAATGGAGGATTGGAA